TTTTAAGCTTTGTTTATTTATTTCAAAATCATGTCTCTGTATATTGGAGGCATTTCAGTCGATTGCAGTAAAATTTAGGATATAATGGCTACAGTCTAGAATTCAAAACCAGCAAAAGAAACTGTTTTCTGACTCTGGTTTAAAAAAAAAAAAAAAGACATGTCTGTCTGTCTTTCTCTTTCTCTCTCTTTGTGGGTATTTAAACCCCTCATTTGTTTTCCACTGCCATTCATTGTACTGGCGTGAACAAAACTTTCATATTAAAATAAAAGTATGTATGGGAAATGGTTGGCTTCTGTGAGAGTGGAAAACAGATTAATCTAGGACCGGTATTTTCATAAACCAGTTGGAGGTGACTAATAATTATTTGTTCTCTTCCTCAGTCCTTCCCTTCCGTGAGAAAATTTACTGTTTGTGTAAAAATACAAAACGTTGATGTTGGTGACTTTTTTTTTTTTCCAGCATATGTTTTCGGACCTGGTTAATCCATGCTTGGCTTTTCATTAGATCTTGTACTCCTGAAGGTTAAGCTGCTAACCAGGTTTATAACATGTATGTACCATCACTTTGTTTACCTGAGTCTTTTTAATTTGAATAAAAATAGTTTGCAAAGTGTTTTGGATTAACCAGGTTTGAGTGTCCCATCAAGACTTTTGTTAGGATTTTATTTCAAGTAATTCTGGCTGTTGCTGATCCAGATTTTATTAAGTCCTTGGTACATGCATGCTTGTGCGTGGGTAAAGAATCCTTTTTATATTGTCCTGTGTATTTCAAGAGGTGCCTGGTAAGTAATAAGAACAGTGATGCTGAAAAATATGGTTGAAGATTGAGCCATAAGGAGCACGAACAGTTAAACCTTGAAAAATATGTGATGCATTGGGAACAAGCTGAGTGGAGATGATAAGACTCGGTCAGGCCCAGATGCCCCCACATTAATTGCTTTGAAAATAAACAGCAAGCCTTAATTTCATACTGGAAGCTAACCTGGTTCAGGACTGTCTTATGTAGCTGTGTAATAAAGGAAATTAGAACAGTAATATGGAAAAAGCATCTTTTACACAATAAAATTGGAAACCAGGATAGAAATTTTCTTTAATACCACAAACTGCAAGAAAAATTAAGCGATAGCAACCTCTTAAGTCTCAAGGTGCCTCTGCCATAAAATTTACAAAGAGGTATTTAAACAACCAGAGCAGATACCATTATATTTAATTAACACGTATTCATGTCTTTGACCCAGGGGATAAACACTGCCTCTCATGCAGGCTGCCAGCTTTACAGAACTTCCACCTTTCTAAAATTTGATGGTGCAGTTGCACAGAGGAGACTAATTCTAATCATCCTCTACATCTTTTTTTGCTCAGACTGAGATACTGAAGATCATCCACAGATGTATGTAGCTCCCTCTTGGCTGCAAATGCACTAAATTGGAGCAGTGTTTCAAAATGTCTGGGTACTCTGAACATCAAGTAAGAAATGAGATCTGATTCACTGATATATGTGAAATTTTTTTATTAGTAAAATAAACCTCATATCCCTTTTGCTTACTGCATTTTCCAGCAAGTCTAATTTGACCATCATGCAAAGAAACAAAAGGACAGCTGCTGCAGTGCAGTAGGGTGCAGTGGTGATCACGGATAAAGAGATTCTCAGTCTCTGTCAGGCCTTGGAGACATGGTCGTCTCCTACGGTCAGTCCTTCCTGCGCCAAAAGGGATCAGAAATCCAATGCAGAAATCTGGCCATGCAGCTTATTGTCTGTTAAAGGGGGCAGTGGAGAAACAGGAAAAGAAATGGAGGAGAATGCCCTGGATTACACAGCAACATGAGTAACCGGTGTGGCTCAGCCCAGGTTAAGCTAAGCTTGATGAAAGCCTGGACAAAAATGGTGAAGGATGGTTAGTCCTTCATGAAGTCTGTGCAACTGTCTCTACAGGGAGTGTCCAAATTCAGTTTCCATTGGGTGATTTTTGGGAGGACTATAATTAATCCTCACGCTTTGTGCGAAGCACCAATGTCCAGTGATAACTTAAGGAAATTCCTTGGGACCAGTCATCCCACCAGTGCCTGTTGCAGGCTTTTGCAACTTTCTTGGAAGCACCTGGGGCTAGCCATAACCAGAGCGCAGGTACAGTTTTGTATGTGTGTATGAAGTCCAAAGCAAAATCTCGCCTGCACTGAAGATGACAGTTTTGCTCTAGGGAAGAGTTTACAAATACATAACAGATTACTATTTTTTCCTTTTTCTACTGTTGAAAAGCTGGGACAAAACTCTGCTGCACCCCTGTGCCAGGGAGGAGTACAGGCTGGGCACATACACACTTCCTTTACCAGAACTTCTTTTCAGTACTTCCCTGGCTCACCACAGGTCTTTCAGCAGGCAGCATCTTTGGGTGCACAACAGCAGGGAAACAAATCAACAAACACCCATTCTTTCCACAAAATCATTCTGAATCGGTTGTGAAATGGTTCCCTCTCTAATGCTGGAGTGGTGAGCAGCATTGCTTGTACACAGGTATCACTGTTTGTTCACAGATGACTATTTACTGCTGCTGCTGCTTATACCAAGTTGAAATTTTCCATGCTTGATACCTATATTGACCTGACTTCTGCAATTTGGAAAGCTTTCAACAGAAATGCTTTGCTAATTCTCAGAATTTCCTATTGTGGCTGCTGCAAAGCGAACATGAGACCGCTGTTTGTAGATGCTAAGCTGCATTCTGGGCTGACACCAGATGAACTCCCTGAAGAAGGGATGGACGTGCTCAACTCCAGAACTGGCAAGGGCTCAGCAGCACTTAAAATGAGAGCTGTGTTCCTGGCTTGCTCCCGCAGTGCATAACGGAAGCAGCGGTGTTCCCAGTGCTAGCCTGAGCTCTGAGCCGAAGGAGAGTTCTCACTTCCTCCCAGTTGCCCACCACCACAGCAGACAGATAGAGGGGGAAGCTGGAGGATGGGAAGGAAATAGGGAAATGTGAGCTGGAAAGAAGATGGGGAAGGCAAAGACCACAGAACTGGGTGTCAGCAGGGATAAAACTGAGAAACCAAATGAAGACCTTGGTTGTTGAAGATTGGGTGTAGATTAAAACTGATACTAAATCCCAGCATGGGCTCGGTACTGGAATGGGCTGGGCACTGGGGCCTTACAGCCACTCTTAATTCCAGCATTGGCGAGAGACTGGCAAAATCGAATGCAGAAGGATCAGCACTAGCAAACACATTGTGGAAGCAAGAATACAGTTCAGATTTCTGAATGTCAAGCTTCATCTGCTGTCATAACAGATCTGTGTTGCCTAAAATCATACAATGCCAACTTGGACAATTTTATTCCTGCGCTGGTCATGAAGACCAGTGCCACAGAATTCCCTGACACCACAATTCTTGTGAGTGACTGCAGCCTGTCTCTTTCTGTTTACCTAGCTGGAGACACCTAAGATATCTTCCAGACATGCTTGGCGCTCTCAGCTGCAAATGGGAAACAGTGCTGCAAAATAAGAGCTCTGATGTGAAAAATTGGGCCTCAACTCACCGATGTCTGTGAAACACCCTGCTATTATTACAGGAGTGCTAAGGGAAGCCACAGGACGTTTTCATACCAGGCTTCTGAGGACTGAGAAGTAACTAGGGCACGAGGCTTTTTCTTAAAAAAAAGCAAGGATATTGAAAAACTTATTTGCTCTATGGAAACAAAGAACCAGCAGGAGAGAGTTCCAAAAGACTCAAGAAGTAAAGGCAGATGGAGCTAAAGCATGATAATTTTCAAAATCTGGCTTTTTATTAATGCTTTATTCTTTATTGTATTGCTACAGTCAGGATTTAGTTCAGTGGAATGCTCTGTGACTGCAAAGAGAAGCTTGTGCGTGAGTGTTTGAACTTGGGCTCTGCCTCGGAACCAAAGTCAAAATCTAATTCGTATTACTTCTGAAATAGAGGTTTTCCCCAAGTAATTCATTTGCCATCCAGTCAAAATATGCAGCGGCACGGTCACATCTTTAATTCTCTGTCAGTTTTTTATCTCCTGAAAACACAAGTAGCACTAGTCCTCCAGATCAAGTGCTTGGAAGACACAACACAAAGTACAGTGTTTACCCTCCATGTGCAAGTTATGTACCTGCACCGTAACATCTTCACAACAGCCATTGTCTCTTTAGTTGATGAAAACTTAGTTCTGTGGAAAACAGCTGTTAGGAATTAGCACAGGAATGCATGTAAATGTATGAACTCCCTTGGGTTTGTTTTTAGGCTGAACTTAAGAATTGGCTTCTTTGTGGAACCCTCAACATATACACATACCATCAGAAATGAAACAAATTTCATTAATAAGTGATCCTCACTGATAATACTGCATCAGTCACCCTAATGCAGCCACTGACATGCTCCCACGCACTTGAGAGCTAGTGCCACTGTGTTAAGGGAGTAAAACAAAACTTTAAAAGGTGTCCAGGATATAACAGTTAGCTCTGTTTTCCTTCTTTGGGGATACAGGAGTCCTGCAAACAGAATTCAGGTTTGCTAGGACTACTGTTGCACATTCCTCTAAGCTTGTGCCTGTTACCACATAAACGCATCAGACTTTTCCCCCCAAAGCCCTCAGCTCAATTAATTGTTAGAGTAGCAACAATGGGTATTACAGCACTTGTAGGCAGTGAAGCCTGAATGCACGGATGACTTTCCAAACAGTGTGGGCTGAGTAAACATGGAGCAGTAAGTCTGTCCTCTTTTTATCTAGTTAAAATTATGCCACAGTGGAAAGAAAACAAATCGGATGCCAGAGCAGTTTCTGTCAGTACAAAGGAAACTAACTAAAAATTACTATTTCCTTTGTGCCAAGATGCTATGGATGCAATATGTAACATTTCTTTCCCATTGGTCTTGGCACAAGAACAGTGTCTCATCAAGCAAAGAAAAGCAGTAGCCAGACTCTGTTTACTCAGTTTAGTTTATTTAAAAGTACTAAACAAACATGAAATAAGTGGCAGAGGCCTACGTATAATGAACTTTTCGCTATTGTATTTGGCTTAAATACAAAATATTAAAGATATGAAGTAGATGGAAGAAGAAAAAACTGCCACAACCATCTGAGAGCGTATTTCACAATTACAGTTCATCTTGCAGACAAAATCTTCCCCTACCATCAATGTGGCAGTAATGCTTCTTTGGTATTAATACAGTTGAAGCATTCAGGACCTTCCCCTTGAAACCTTTCAGCTAAAATTCTTTTTTTTCCATCCTTGCCTCGTACTGTCTTTCAGATCGTTTCCTACGGTAAACGTCATCTGCCAGAAAAAGATTTTATTATATTAGCGTTTTCCAAGTGCAGGATAATACTAAATGTATGAAGCCTGTCATCTCTTTTTAAACTTTTAAATCCAATTTTCTCTTGCAGACACTAACAGGCAACTGAAAATTCAAGCCAACACAAATCCCTACTGCCACTTAAAAATAGCTCCATGTTCTCCCTCCTATCCAGGCTAAAGTTCTTCCCATCAGTCCTGATGAAATGTTTTTATAGGAAGACTTTTTCCAGTGTGATACAGTCATTTCTTGTCTACTTTCCCATGAGGGTGATTAAAAATACAAATGTCCAAACTAGCTGAAGCCAAATGGAAATTAAATTATAGGCACAAAGTCAATACCTGAGGACTGCCAGCATGGCTTCAGTATTTTAGCTTTTTTTTTTTTTTTTTTGAAAAACCAAACCAAAACACAACACAGGAATATACCCACCTTCATAGTCTTCCTAGTTGTCCTTCCTGCCTCCCCTCACCCCGATAACCCCTAAGTATCCATCACCAAATAAAATCTCTCACTGACAAAAAAAAAAAGCTCATCAGTCTTGTACCTTGTCACTTTGCATGGATTATGACCAGTAATAAGGCTAAACTGCACAATTATTGTTACTGTAGTATAGTATCATTTAGGCATAGCTTTTTTTTTTTTTTTCCAGGAAAATAAGGCTCAAGCTGAAATATAAAGGCTGCTACACAATTGTGCTTTAGTTTCTAACCTGACTTTATTACTATACAGGTATGCCTCAGAAATTATTAAACTGAAAAAACACAACAAACCCACGCCTTCAGAAGTGAGCAGCGAAGCAATTTTTTTTGCAGCGAGTCTGTCAGCTATGGAAATTGTATCAAGCTGTTTTATTCTACGGGAGACTCAGCTAAATTTCCCATGAAAATGAGAATATTCCCATATAACATACAGTAGAGCTGATCCTTTTTTTGAAGTACACAAAGATTTCTAGCAAGGCTTCTAAAAGGGAAGAATGCCACATTAAAACTAAATGATTTAACTTCTAGAAAACGAGTCATAAGAACTTAGCTAATGGCACTCAGTTTCATACTTCTTTTTCAATTACCTAATTAAAAAAAGTCACGTTTCAGATGAACCCACACCTCCATTTAGATTCTGACGACCCCTCCAAAGACTCCGAGTCTTTTTCCAATGTAAAAAAAAAACAAAAACCAAAAGAAACTAATTTAGTATTGTAAACCCATTTTTGTTTGTTTGTTTCTGCCCAGTGTCTTCTGCTAGGGTGGCAGGGTCTGGAGTGTCCCATCCTGTACTAAAGAGAGAAGCGGCTGACTTGCTGATTATCTTTGAAGTCCTCCAGGTGAGGACCCCCCCACCCCGCACCAGACCTCGCTAACTCGTTGTTGTTCTCGGTAAGGGGAACCGGCGCCCCGGTGCGATCGCCACTAGCAGGTGCTGTGGCACAGGGTGCCGGGTCGGGCCCGGGGCCGGGCCGGGACCCCCGGGAGGAGGAAGATGAGGAGGAGGAGGGGGGGGGCAGTGATGACTCAGCAGGGAGCGGGCCTCCTCCCGCCGCCCCCCGGCGCGGCCCTCACTTACAAAAGGTCTCCTTGCCGATGCGGACGTTAATCATGAACCACTCCATGGCTCCCCCGAGGAGGAAGAAGAAGGGCAGGAACCGGTACACGCCGAAGCGCTGCTTCCCGGGCACCAGCTGCAAGAGGCGCCTCACCCTCCTGCTCACCAGCATGGCCGGGGCGGGACCGGCGCCCTCAGCACTTGGCGGACAAAGAGGAAAAACGGG